TTTTCTTTCATACATGTATTTTCCACAGAAAAACAGACATACTGTTAGAAATCCCCAATGAATATGGAGAATAGAAAAGGATTTTATTGATTGACTAAAATTGAACAGAACAAGGAGAGAAACGCTCCTCTAAAGATTCCCCCTTCACAAATGGTTTCCTTTTTTGCAACTGAGCACTTGCTTGGTTCTCTCAAAATACAATTCTGTGAATGATCCCCTAATCCTTACTTCCCCCTATTTATTCATCTGACTAATCCCCTCTAACTAACTGTCTAAACTAACTACTTCGTCTTTCCTTTATTCTTCAAAGCAAATACCATTCTGTCCTAACACGTACAGACATATAAACATGAGTAGACATTTATATACTTAAAAAAAATGTCACTGGCTTTTCTATGTCTAGATAATATTCTGAAATAACTTTCCTGACCAATGATTTCTTAATTTTATACTTGAGACATTTAAGATTAACTAGCTACCATTTGGCCATATACTATTCATACAAAGAGAGTCACTGGCATGCCATTATTCCATCTAGATATGTTGAAGGTGGAATGGGCTCAATATCCAAGGCTATTGGTACTGCTGCTATAGGAGCTGGAGCACATGTTGTAACCAATGCTGAGGTATGTCATCAAGAATCTCTATTAGCTTTCAAATTTACTCCTTTTATAGTCAACATCAAGCAGATTCTGAAATTTTAGTGGCTTGTGTCCATATTCAATCGAGATCATGTCCATACCCAATGGTCCTCCCAAAAGTAAACATGGGAACCGTTACCTACCTATTTTGGGATAACAATGGGATGAATTTCAAAGGACTAAAATGAGAAGCTCGGGTTGTTGTATTAGCATCCCACCTATTTTGGTGTACTTACTCTAGATAACCTGGTGCAAAAGGGAATGAAGTTCCAAAGGAAAAAGCCATGGCCACTTGACTGCTAGAGCAATGTTCTTAGACACCAAATTGCCAACGCCTAAACCCCCTTCCTTCTAAATGACAACGACATATCTCCCAGCTCACCAAATGATCACATCACATCTCAAATCTGTAACAACTGGCCAGAGAAATTGTTCATAATCTTTTCTATTGAATATGCAACTCCCATTGGAATACAGAAGAAAGATAAGTAGTACAGAAGAATGCTAGAAAGACGCCTGGATAAGGCCAGTGCATTATGCAACTAGTAAACAATGTTTACAGTGGTATATTATGATTGTAGGCACCATGGATGGTCATCGTGAAAATATTTTTACCACCTTATAATTGGAAACAGAAATGAGTGATGACCATTATTCTATATTTTAATCTTCTTGTAGTTGATCCTATTTGCTATTTGTTCCATTTAGCGCTTGAAGATATGCCATACAGTAGATATTCATCCATGCGTCCTTTTTGCTAATGGTTTTTACTCAATTCTAGTTGTGTTCCCTGTTGGTCTTTAATTAATCTCTTGCGAAAAAGCTCCCCTTTTCTATCCCCATTGACTCTTTTACATCACTTTTTGTTATCAAAATCTTCCCAATGTAAGCAGGCTTGGAATTCTAATAGTTTCTGCTTCCTAAGATCTGATTGCTGGTGTGCACTGGTCATATAATTCTCAACATTAGCCCCCGGTGAAGCTTTCAAAGTTCAGATTCATTGGTTCCTAGTGCATTCATTTTTTATTTATTTATTTTTTGGTATCTACTAGCTGATTGTTGAAAAAGACCTTACACTAATTAAATTTCTTCTTATCGAAATAATAAAATCAACTGGCAATATCATATAAATAGTAATAATTTCAGTTCATAGAAAAAAAGGGATTGGAGAATAAACATTTCTTCTTTTTTTCCCGAGGCCCTGACTACCTGTGACATCCTGTATTCTTATAGGTGTCTCAGTTATTGATTGAAGACTCTAGTGCTGTCAGTGGGGTTAGTATTGTTCGTGAGTTTATTAAATCAAGTGGATTTTTAATGGTGGATCGTAGCAATTAAATTATGTAGATATGGTTTACATGTAGGTGATTTTGGCCGATGGTACTGAAGTGCGTTCTTCGATTGTTCTGTCTAATGCAACTCCGTATAGAACTTTCATGGTAAATTTTTGAACTAGCTGCAAATACTAACTTCTTTGGCACATATATTTGGTGCTAATTTATAATATATGCTAATATGAACCAGGAATTAGTGCCCAACAATGTCCTCCCTGATGATTTTGTTCGTAGAATTAAGCACTCTGACTATAGTTCTGTAAGTTAATATACTACTTTTTTCTTAGTTTGCGTTTCTTCTTTAATACCCTCAATCTCTGCTATGTGTAACTAAACTAGAATAATAGGTAAGATTATAACATTTATAGACAGCATGCTTATATTTTATTGTCTGCTAATGAGGAATGCCTAGAATTCATCAATGGGAAAATCACATCTTCAGGAGAAACTTCAATTATTAATCACATTTCAGATGACAAAACCAGGGTCCCAACCCTGTGTTCCAAAAAAAAAAAAAAGAAAGAAAGAAATCTGGGATAGTTATAAATAACTTGAACCTTTGAAAAATATTTCTCTCTCTTTTAGCCAACTATTTTTTCATGAAATATGATTAAGTTCTATGCTAGCCATGGACATTTGACTTCTGCAACCATTAAGTAAAGATAAAGCAAAGATAGATCATAGGGCGAGTATTGGAGCAGCTGTAAGGTTTCTCCTTGTGATCGAAAGGTCACGGGCTCGAGTCTGGGAACAGTCTCTTTACAAAAATGCAACAGTAAACCTACATACAATTGACCCTCATCCCTATCCTTGCAAGTCAGGGAGCCTTGTGCAGTGAAGCTTGCCGTTTTTTGTAAAGCAAAGATAGATCTTGATTTGGTACTACAAGGTTTTATTTTCTCTTCTTCCCCCAGCACTTTCACTAGATTTATGGAAATCAAGATTCAGGACAGATTTTGTGGAAGTTTTCTTATTATTTTTTCTTCATTAATTGTCATTCTTTTATTTGGTAAATATCTACTGAAACAGGCCACTACAAAAATAAATGTAGCAGTTGATAAATTGCCCCAATTTCGTTGTTGCAAGTTAAATCATCCTCATGTTGGCCCACAGCATGTTGGCACAATTCATATAGGTTCAGAGAGGTATGTTAAAATTGAATCATTATTTCATCTATTGTAGATTAATGCGGTCTAATCAGTTTGTACATTTGCGGTAGTCTTATTCAATATGGATAGTTGCAACTTTATTTTCAGAACGTCAGTTTTTCTTTGCCCTTGTTAATTTCTATTTAGCATGGAGGAGATTCACTCTGCATCTCAAGATGCGGTGAATGGAGTACCATCAAGAAGACCGGTTATTGAGATGACAATTCCCTCAGCAGTGGACAAAACTATATCTCCGCCTGGTACTTCGAACTTTCCGTTTAAGAATGTCCTGATATGTTCTATTCATAGAGGAAGTTTAGTTACTTTGATTTCAATGCATTTGCCACATTTATTCCGATTATTTCTCGGCGTTGTTTAAGTGACTTTGATTTGTCTTCAGCATGCCATTGAATTTCTTTTACTAACGGATCAGAATTGGAAACATGGCTTCTGTTTCAGCACTCATCTCATTAATTTATATGTATTTGATGCCTTCATAATCTGTGAAATATGTTTTCTTCACAGGTAAGCATGTGATCAACCTGTTTGTGCAATATACACCCTACAAACCATTGGATGGTGACTGGCAAGATCATGACTACAGAGTTAGTTTGTTTTGGGTGTTCTCGTTGCATTAATTTTTTTCTTATGTTCTATAATGCATTTCAGTGTACAGATTTGTTTTGTTCCACCATGGTCATGAACTTGTCTGCGAAAGCTGCCACATAACTAAATCTACGTGCTGAATATTCTATGTTAAAGGTGCTTCATTATATCTTATCTATCCATGGTCATGCTTCACTATTCAGGAATCATTTGCACAAAAATGCTTCACGTTGATTGATGAATATGCCCCAGGCTTCAGCACATCAATCGTTGGTTATGACATGCTGACTCCACCAGATCTTGAAAGGGAAATTGGTTTGACAGGTAACTTAACCATATTTAATTCACCTAAACAAAAACCTATGCAGTTGATATTCTCTCACGCAAAATTGCCTTTTTCTAGGGCACAAAACCCTGAAGTTAATTGATAGAAAATGATTTTATTTATTTTTTTCAATATATTTTTATTTTTGTCGAACAAAGAAAACCTCAACGAAGCTATAAGCAACACAAACCCAACCCTCAACATTGTCACTATATTTACATTTGATCTTTTTTGGGCAGGAGGGAATATATTTCATGGTGCTATGGGATTGGATTCTCTTTTCCTCATGCGACCTGTGAAAGGATGGTAAAATATAAATTGAAGTAGCTTATAATCGAATCTGATTTTCTTTTCTGACATGTAACTGATCAAAAGCATGCTGCTCCTACTGATAATTACGTGGTTGTTTTCATTGACTTGGAACTTAGGTCAAACTATAAGACTCCCCTTCAAGGGTTATACTTATGCGGAAGTGGGGCACATCCTGGCGGTGGAGTTATGGGAGCACCTGGACGCAATGCTGCCCGTTTCATTCTTCAAGATGCTAGAAAAAAAAACTTAGTGATTACTTAGTTATAGCACTCGCCCAAATTTTTGATGCCTGCAAACATCTTGGAAAGATGGGTCTTTCAGTGGAATTATGTGCAGGAACTTTTTAACAAAATCTTCGTATGATGCATTAGATAGAAGAAGGGAATAAAACATCTTTGGGCCCCACTGTTTTTAAACAAAATAAAAAAAATAAAACATCTCCCAGCACAATTTTTGAATTCTCATCTGCAAGTAATTCTCTTCTCATGCGGCATTTGCCCATAGAAGAATTATGATAATGATCTATCAAATTTGATGAACTAATTGCATAACAAACTAGATGAAGAAACTATAACGTATTTCAAAAAACTCGAACTTGTAACTCTTTAAGATAATCTGGCAGTTCGATGCATTTATTCCTGTAATAACTATTTGATACAGAAAATCCACGGTTCATCAGGAATTTTAATGAGTCGACAATTCAAGTCAAAATGCAACCAAATAGATTAACAGAAAGTGGGATCTGCTGCATACAATAAGTGCTCAGGTAAAGTTGTATACGATTCCTTAGACCAATAAAGGTAGGTAATTACAAATAAAAAATCTCACCAATTGCCAAACTTATCCATCTTTAGATCAGTAGCAACCATGGCCAGCTCTCACTCCGGGTGTCAGTCTTTGCTTCAAATACGAACACCTATATTAAGACAAAAGTTCATCCTACTGACTCCACAAGATATTTCAGCTTTCATACCTCTTTTATATGTCAACGCAGATCTTTCCGGAAGCTAAATTAAAATTATGCTACCGCGACCTCCAAGCAGAAACAGATTTTGGAACAAGATTGATTGCATTGGATGCTGCTTCTAGCCTGTTTCACGTATAAAGCATACCCAGAAATAAGTGCGCACATAAAAATACATATTAATAATCAGAACCTATATTACTTATAACGCATACCCACAAAATGTTAGCAAAAAAGAATTTAATTTTGATTTACCATCATTCCATCTGTTTAAAAACACTTAAAAGCTTTTACTGAAAGTGAAATATCTTTAGTTAATAGTTTACTAAAATGATGTAGCACTTTACTAATACAATGCGAAAACAAAGTTAAAGATGAGGAAAGAGAGAGAACTTTGATATTTCTTCAACAGCCTTCATAACCTCAGTTGAACTTGTCTCCAACACCTGACCTCCGAAAATAATCTCATCTAGTATAGTATGCAGCTGCAGAAGAACTCATTTTTTAAGATCTCTCGAATGAAAATTTAAAATGATATTGCTACGGTCGAAATATCATCACCATTTTGGAAGGCATTTCCAGAACAACCCAAAATTAGTGAACAAATAAACATATGAAGGAGTAATCAATTTTTTTAGTAAAAAAGGACAGATCGACTCAAATATTGTCTATTTGCTTCATGTTTGAGAATATAATAAGTCAAACTTGCCGGCAGCAGCAAACTCCAGCAAATTTCTATATGCAGCACAAAATGTTTCCCTAAATCATGACAGTTTATAATTCATTTCTTGTTACATGCAATATTGTTATATAAAGTCAGTTTGTGATAAAGAAGATATCATTCATAATCGAATGCACAAAGCGTACAACCTTACTATAGTTGAACACAACATCTATCTCACATACATTTCTGAAGCATTTGTCCAATGTTTCCACGAAGACTGAAGGCAGAAAGGGTCAGAGTAAGCAAATCGCCCCATCAAATTAACAGTAAGAGGCAGTAATTAACAGCAGCTAGCACAGTTACATGTGGTCATGCAGAGTGTAATTGATAATAAACAGATAACGCAAATAATTACTCCATCAGAATTCTTACCACAAGAGCAATAGAATGGAAATGGCTAAAGAAAATGACTAATTTAAAGGTTAAATAAGCCATTAGGTTTGGTCTAGTGGTGAAGGGTTTACGTAGGTTATATTAGATTGTGTGTTCAATTCCCACCAATGTATTCAAAAAAAAAAAAAGTTACGTAGATTATTAACACCATTACCTTCTCTGGCAATTCTCTAAGAGGACAATAAAGAGTCCAAATGTGAAAAATGCAAAATGATCACAGAAACATATAGCCAAAATAATAATGCAAATCAAGATTTTCTCAAAAGAGTTTTTTGGGCTAATTTGTTATTAGATTTTACAGCATTTTCCAAGATATGTATCAACTAGATCCAACAACTTACCTACCCTAGAACTTGCATTATTCTTTCTTTTTTTTCCTTCAAAAATCAATAAAGTAAATTGCAGTTGGAGAAGGATAATCTTTCACTTGCTTATGGCGTAAAACAACAACTAAGCCATATCCCACGACGTGAGGTCAGCTACATATTGGATCAAATGACATCATTAAGCTCTATCAGAGATCAGAATGGCTACATATTGGATCAAATGACATCATTAAGCTCTATCAGAGATCAGAATGATTAATAACGGGAACCAGCGTCAAATGTATTGTCTTTTAACCAGATTAACGAGTACACCCAATCATACTGTTTATGGTCAGTTTTGATCAATGCTACAATTGTTAGTTAATAACATTCACTATTTTCAACAAAATGCTGTAGACACTTCTGAACCTCCTAAACTTACAGATGATAGATGGTATGTAGCAGATTTTCACCTTTTTGTGCTTTTGCCAAGTCACACTCATACGCTGCTGAGTGATATCGGTGCATATTTAATGCAAGACAACGTAAGGCCAGCCTAGTGCTATAAAGCTCCATATATGAGTGGCAGAATGGAGTCAAGGGAAAGGTCGATTCAGTGTGTGAGTCCATAGTAGGCAGCATTATCTTACATTTGCAAAAAGTTGATTTCTCGATTTGATATTTTAGGTCTCATGGCAACAACTCCAAAGGTTACACCAAGGCTCCCCTGCTGGGGATGTCAATCATAATTATATAATTGTTATATTTTTAAGTAATTTTCACAGGGAATAATTTTAGGAATTTTAATGTATTATTTCAATCAGTTTTGGGATAATTATATGGTGGGCTTAAAGTTGCACATTATATGGTTTAGGAATATTCGAGAAGAGTTTCTTTCTTGTCATCTAAGTTTTATTATTAGACTTTGTATTAAGTTTCCAAGTATTCAATAGGATATAATTTCAGACCTCAAATGTTCTAGAATCTAGAACCACTCTAGTTCTAACTTCAATTACCCCTAGTCCTTAACCTATTACTGATACAAAGCAGCTTCTTTTGCTGTCTTCCCTTACATCAATATTGATGAGATCCATAAAAATTTAGTCATTTGTAATTATAATTCAAAGCAAGTATGATACATTTTCTGAAGTTAGTCAGCTTAGCACGAGTATGTTAGCTGAAAGGATGGTAAAAATCAGTACACATATATATTATATATTACCTACTTTGAAAGACAATTGATAAGGTGTATTACAAAAATTCAGCTAAATTACTTAGATGTAAGTAATGATAAAACCAGTATTGCAGCATTGAGCTATATCATACATAACTAAAGTTTAAAATTCACTATTTTTATAACAGATCTTGAGCAGGCACAACATATTTATATCCAGTCAATTAGAAATCTCTTATTTCATGTTCAAATTTCCCAATTCCCGGATAGTATAAAAAAATCAAATCATGTTTGTATTCAGTTGTCAACCTAAAGTTCATAGTTACTTTGAGACGTTCCTTAAGACAGAAACAGACTGATACCCGAGCATACCAACAGGATGCCATTACTATGTAAAATTATTCAAATAACCATTAAGCAGTACTCATCTCCATAAAAAAGACAGATCTTCTGCATTTTGAGTTTTTGACACTTGATACAATGCAAAAATTATTTAGGTAATACCAACAAGTTCCAATAAATAGGGAGTGGTTCAGGAATTTACCTTGTATCAAGTCAAGCATAGCGAGCTCGTTTTCAGAACTATCAAATATAAATACAAAGTATAAAGTTGCAAAGTGCTTGTAGACAAGGCGAGCATCCTGAAGGAGAATGCAACAAATGAATTCATAACTTCTTTTCTTTAGATAACAAGATGAGTTAGTAGCACCAAAAAAAAAAATATTTCTCAAAAGAGTACAGGTATCAATAATATCAATACAACACTAGTTGACTATCAAATTAAGAAAACTAGTATATTCAAAATATGAAATTAACAAAACGTATTTCAGGTCAGGTAGACCTAACAGTGAGTCTTTGATTCTCAAAAAATCACACACTTACAATTATGATTACAACAGTCATTTTAATTCAGTTAAAAAAAGGGTATACCAACAAACAATGCCAAGAAAAAGCCCAAATCACAACATTTTTCATTTCAATGTTTCCTTTAAATACAAAAATCACGGCTCTGACAGATCAAAATTACAGTACGCAGAAAATGAAAGGACGAAATACCGGGCCAAAGAAGGACTCAGCATCCACAAAATTGCTGACATGTTCAGGTCTACTGCATAAGACTGCAAAAGAAACGAAATTCACAAAAGGAAGCAAAAAAGAAGAGAAAATGAAACAAACACAAATAAACAATCCAGTCTATAAATCAGGGAGAGAAACCTGCAAACACATTGCGAATAATTTCTTGCTGCTTCTCCACGGGCTGATCTACCATGACATGAAAAACACAATATGAAAATTGCATCACGTAAACAAAAAAAATAAAATAAAATAAATAAATAAATCGAAATCTCGATGCCAAAGTTCTGAAGAGAGAGACGCACCCGAAATTCATAGAATTTGGCGAGACGAGGCTTCCCCTCCGTGTTCATCACTAGCACTGCTCTTATCATCTTGTTTCTTTCTTTCTGCAAGCAATTAAACCAAATAAATAAATAAATAATGAAGTTCCTTTCCTTATCATAACACAAATTCACTTCATCGTCCACAAACTCGCATCACTGATCGGGGAAAAAAAAAAAAAGACACGCGAATTATGAAACTGAAGCAAAACGCGAGATGAATATGATCAACGACACGATGAGAGATTTTGGAGCACGAAGAACACAGTGATGAGTAGTAGAAAGGGACTAACAGATAGAAAAAGAAAAAGAACCTCAAATTGAATAGGAATAGGAGTCTCCGATCGAATCAATCACCGCTAGGTAGTGTTTTCACAGGCCTAACTGCGAGGTGTAAAGAAGGATTAGCAAAAAAGAATTCTTAAAACGCACCGTTTCATCGAATCTGTTAATTTGGTGGGCTGAAGGAAAACTTCAATTAAGCCCGCACCACTGCCAGCAAAATTGTCAATTTGATTATAGTTTGTGCGGACCAAACTATGATTTAGAAAAAAGAGTGTAATTAATTTTCATCTTTAAATCAATATTTGACAAGCAATACTTTGTTGGAAAATAAAAAATAATTGCTCTCATATTTGAGTTAGAGCTGTTAATGGTTTGGGTCTTGGGAGTTGTATTTGCAAGAAATTCTATATCACTCTCAGCCGTTGTTCAGACTTGAGAGTATTACTTTTCTTTTTTAACCACCTTTTTTTTCTTGTTTTTATTTATTATATCAAGATTACAAAATAATGCTTAAGATTTATTTTTCCAATAATTACAAATATATAATATGTAAATGTTAAAGAGTGTCCTTAAGTATAGGTTAATAATTAAAAAATAAAATGTATTAGACAAATAGAAAAAAAAATTATATATCATATATGTGATAGGTTATTCTACTTATTTTTTTTATTTTTTATTTTGCTTACCTTACCTACTAATCTCTTCTCTTGAGATTATGATTCAATGATATTAAAGATGAGCAGGTAAAATAGGTAAGAAAAAAAGATAAGTAGAACATTAGATATTACAAAATTTATTAAATATTTTTTTAATTTTTTAGGACACCTATTATCGGAAAGCCTTTAGGGGACGTTTCGAAGAAGATATATTTTTTTTACTGGGCGAAAAAGATTTTCGGGAATATGGTGAGAATTTTTTTTTCTCGGATAAGTTACGAAAAGGTGTTTGGTAGGCCAAAATTTTTCCAGAAAGTTTGGTTTATTTTATTGAAGCTATGTTTGGTTGATTGTAAAATATTGATGGAAATCTGAACCAAAATGACAAAATTACTTATTTTACACATCTGCTAATATATTGTATAAGGGCATTTTTGTCTCAAAATATGAAAATACATTTTCCAGTTGGTGGGAAAAAAATAATACCACAGGTGGAATGGGATAATTTTTTTCCCATGTGTAAAAAATGAGAATAATGGGGAAAAACTATCCAGAATAATTTTACTATTACTCATACCAAACATGGCAAAAAAAAATTCTCAACCCCATTTGACAAGATTTTCCCCAAAATACCGGTACCAAACACACCTAGGCCTTTGTGTAAAAAACTTAATATCTAAGCAATTATTCAAGTTAATAAGTATTTAAAGGTATTCTTTAGATATCATCAATAGTTAATTGTTCTGAAATCATTATTATAATTTTTTAAAGGGATTAATTATTTTAATTAAAACTGGTGATAAAAAACAGTTACACAATAAAAATATGAGAGGTTTTTTTTAATTTAAATATTAAATAAAAAATTATTTTAACTAAAAATCAGTCTTTTAAAATAATAAATATTCTTTTCATTTAAAAAAAAACAATAAACAAAAACTGGGACAGAAAAGTAAAATCAAAAGTACAGCACTGCACACGAATAAAAATTCCGAGTCAAACTTGCCCTAAACTGGTCGCTCGTTAACGGCACAATCGTTAAGTCAAAGGCACGAAGAAATGGGCACTCGGGAAGATGACGAAGACGAAATAAACCCCTTCACAATGTTCCTAACCGACGACGACGAAGAGGCGCCAAACGGCTTCGCTAAAATACACGAGGGTGCACCGAAGCAAGAGCTGCTGCAGAAGCACCTCCTCCGTTCGATTCAATCAACGGTGGTGATTCGCCAGCTGCCTTCCGAGGGTCTCTCCTTCCAGCTCTGGCCCGCCGCCACCGCTCTCGTATCCCTCCTCGATCAACACCGCATCGACCCTACCAACAGCCCCCTCTCCGTCACCCTCTCCGCCGCGCGCGACGACGGTCCCCTGAGGATCCTCGAGCTCGGCTCCGGCACCGGCATCGTCGGAATCGTCGCCGCCGTCACTCTCGGTGGCAATGTAACCCTCACGGACCTTCCTCACGTGGTTCCGAATCTCAGATTCAACGCGGACGCGAACGCGGGAATTGTGGGGTCCACCGGTGGGGCCGTGACCGTTGCGCCGCTGAGGTGGGGCCACGTTGATGACGTGGAGGCTATTGGGCGGGAGTTCGATCTTATTCTGGCATCGGATGTAGTGTATCACGACCACCTTTACGAGCCCTTGCTCGAAACGCTGCGTTTAATGTTGCTGGGAAGCGGTGAGGAAAGAGAGAGGAAGAAGATGGTGTTTGTGATGGCTCACATGAGAAGGTGGAAAAAGGAGTCGGCGTTCTTCAAGAAGGCGAAGAAGCACTTCGACGTCGACGTTTTGCATACTCACAGTCCTTGCAATGGGGCTAGAGTTGGTGTTGTTGCTTATCGTTTTGTTGGGAAGGGTTAGGTTTCAATATACTGTTTTACAAGTGAAGTGACAATTACAATTTCAAGTTACGTTTGCTTGGTTTCCTTTTGAACTCCAAAGACTCTAATCGAGATTTCGAGGACATCACTATCTAATGCTGAATTTTAGTCCAGTGTTTTTGTTTATTTTCTATACTAAGCATGCTGAAACTTGCTAAACTTAGGTTGAAATGTGTGTAACAAAGCAGTCTATAAGCGGAAACCTTACCCAAAAAAAATGGAAAATAAACAATATAAAAAGCGGCTATTTGACCATTTGAGGGTGATACTATGAATCACCACCATCTCCACACATCAACATCATCACTACCATTATGCCATTGTTATCGCCGTCGCCACCACTACTATTACCACCGCCATCTTCACCAACTACCACTATCATCGCCGTAGCCACTGTCATCATCATCACCATTACCATGCCATCACCGTAGCCACCGCGATCACCACCACCACTACCACCATCACCGTTACCGCCACTACCACACCGCCGCCGCCGCCACAACTATGATAGGTTCCTTTTAGCAAAAAGGATAAGCTTAGGAAAACTAAAACGTAAAATAGAGATTTGGCAATTTTGATGCTCTTTCCATTAACTCAAACTTCTTAAATAGAAATTACATAATAATTGTCAGTGCCTAACTACTCTAAGTGGAAGACAATTGCTCAATGTGGAAAATAACTGAAAGAAATACAATTTAAAATAAACAACTGCCTAAAGGAAATGTTGTCTAACTCCTAATAACTATTACTGCTCAACTGCAATATGGTTTGTATCATTCCATTCCCCTTCAAAAGAACCGTGTCCCCAAGGTTCTCGAGCTCTTCATCGAGAAGTGTCTTTCAATCCAGTGGGTATGATTGTTCATCCAGGAGCAGGAAGGAGGATGGGTTTTGGCATCTGTGTCAGCGCGTGAAGCGATCATCACAGTTGAAACACAATCCCTAGACATGATGTGTTTTCATTTCTTCAGCAGACAAGCGGCGAACACCAGAAGGTAGGTTCGACGCAAGAGAAGGATTGTCGGGGGTAGGTGAAGGTAATGCAGTGGTGGGTGCTTTGTATGGAAGGTCAGATAGCTTATCTTCTTGAAGTTTGGCATGTCCTTGGGCTTCAATTATGTTGGTTGGTTTGAGAGCTTGAACTTCACGCCGAATACGAGGTTTAAGGCCAAAAATGAATTTAAGAAGGAGAAATTCTGGTGGTAAATGCGAGGTACGGTTGGCGAGGGATTGATAGTGGGCAATGTAGTGGGAAACAGTGGCGGTCTGGGTCAGTTTGGCAAGTGAACCCATATGATCAATGTAAGGGGAATCACCGTAGCGTGTTTCAAAGGTATAAATGAAGTGCTCCCAAGAGTGGAAAGGATAGTTAGTGTGCATCCATTGGAACTATGCCAGTGCAGGGCCATCCATGTGGAAAGAAGCAATCTGTAGTCGTTGAGGGGGAGGGGTGTGATGAAACTCAAAGAACTGTGTAGCTTTCAAATCCATCCCGATGGGTCATGACCATCGAACCTTAGGAAATCAAGTTTGAAGGGTTTGGGTTGGACGACATGGGAATAGTGAGTAGGATCAGGTGGCGGGGGAGGGGGAAGAGGAGTGGTCGAGTTGAGTTGGTCCAATCGTCCCATGATGGTGGTAAGGGCAGTCTGGATATCATTGAGATGATGGGTAGTCTCAATGGATTTTTGGTTGAGCTCGGTGATTTGTTGAGCAGATTTAGTGGAAGTGTCACAGAGTTGGGTTATTTGGGAGAGGGCTTGCTTTAAGTTGTCGAACAATTTTTGAATTTGGGTGTTGTGGTGTTCTTGTGTTTCTTCGAATTTGCAGAATCTTTCACCTTCAACCATGGGAAGATGAGTTGCTCAACAAAAGCACCAAATGATAGGTTCATTTTAGCAAAAAGGATAAGCTTAGGAAAACTAAAACGTAAAATAGAAATTTGGCAATTTTTGATGCTCTTTCCATTAACTCAAACTTCTTAAATAGAAATTACATAATAACTGTCACTGCCTAACTGCTCTAAGTGGAAGACAACTGCTCAATGTGGGAAATAACTGAAAGAAATACAATTTAAAATAAATAACTGCCTAAAGGAAATGATGTCTAACTCTTAATAACTATTACTGCTCAATTGCAATATGGTTTGTATCAAACCACCACAACCACCGCAATCACCATTGTCGCAGCTAATGTCGTCACCACCACAACCACCGCCACCATCATTGTCGCAGCTAATGTCGTCACCACCATCATCACCATCAGAGGCGGACCTACACTTGTGCCACAATGTGCAAGTACAGACACAAATCTTTGAAAAAAGAAGAAGAGTAAAGTATCTGTTGGGACCTCAACGAAAATTACGGGGCCCAATTTAATCCCTTAAAAAAATTGACTTATGATCCCTCTGAATTCTAAAATAGACTCAGTTGGTCAAAATCATGATCTCTCTGAAATTCAAAGAAGAGCCATGTTAGTCCCTCAAAAGGACTAACATGAGTCTATTTTGAATTTTAAAGGGATCACGAGTCATTTTTTTTCTAAGGGATTAAATTGGGTCGTGTAATATTTGTTGAGTACCCAAAAGTTTCAAAGGGACCACTTATTTATATTCTAGGTGGTTAAGTTGTCAGCCGGCTAGGTGACGTAACCCATTGTAGCCCTCCAACCAAGGTCATGGGGTTGTGTCCTATAATCCTTGGTCACCATCACCACACCCATGATCACCACCTCTGAGATTTTAGCTCTGGATTGTCTTCCACCTTCTCAACCGCCATTAGGGCCTTAAAATAAGCTTGCATAGTGGCAGGAAATGACATCTATCATTATCATTCTGTACATTGCTAAAATTATCGTTCAGAGCATTCACTCATCTCCAAGTGTTCACATGCATCCCTAATTTGCACTATTAAAGTGTTGGTTGCAGATATTGTGTCATGTTAGTTCCTTCATTCTCAGTAACCAACCGAAGAATGAGTCAAGATATGGTCCACTATCTTTAGCAATAGTCACCATACACTTCCCTACTTTTTCAACAACGTTTAGCAACAACCCATTTTGTGTACATGCCATTATTAATTGATCCTTTGATGGTAAAGTTCCATATAAGCTGTGGCTTTAGAATTTTGGGTTCCCTAAACTCACTTTTCAATTATTACTATATAACATATGTGCTTAAGAGCTAGAGCTTGGATACATATTATTCCAAGCATCAATTAATTAAATTAAAGATACTTGAGTCTACTAATTTTCCTAATACTAATTAATTGTTCAACCTAAATCACATTTAGGCCTAATTATTAAATGAACCCAAACTTGCTTCATATAATATTCATCTTCTTAATTGTATCTAATCATTATTTTTGAGTTTTATTAAACATATCTAACATAAACTATAACATCTTATTAATTATAATCTTAATCTAATAATTTTATCTCTCATAATATAATTAAATAAGTATTTAATATAATTAGACACCTAATTAATTTCTTTTTCATATTTTACTAATGAGGGTTATTATACATACCATGTCTTTCTATATGAAGCTTTGAAACCATACGCATGGGTGATCCTCTCCTGAACCAGTGCAATTGAGACTGATGTCTCCTCTTTTGACATTAAGACAAATGATAATACTATTAAACACAAAAGAATAACAAAATAATCCAATATTAATGTATTGTGATTCACACCTTGCAGTTCCCGCATTAATAGATTGCTTACCTTCAAGAGCTAATTTTTGACGAATTTTTTGATGTAGTTCGCTAACTGTTGAGTTGCGCATGATGCGTGTTGTTCTTTTCTCGCCTTCAAAAAATATACAACATCGACCTTCCATTTTCCTACCATTATATTATAAAACAACACGAACAGAATCAGAATGTGAACTCATTCTTAACATATTAACACAAAACACAAAACAGAGTATGCATAAGCAACTGAGATTGTATCAAAGAGTAAGAGTTTATGATGTAGAAGAGTTGTGATGAATGTGGAGATGATAGGTGTTTAAATAAGGAAGAAGTATGTCAATCACGCCCAAAAAAGACAGAACAAGGGTGTGAATGACACTTAAATTAGGCTGGATAACCAAGGCATTCACGCTTGCATGGGGCGTGACTAATAACACCTAATTTGGGCATGAATTACGTGACATTCACGCCTATTTTGGGCGTGAGTGAGTGCTACAGACCTGTAATTAGTTTCAAAACAACAATATATCTGTAATTATTTATTAAAATAGCAATATTTTAATTTTTTTTGCCAAAATAACAAGCTAATTGAAAGATAACAATATTGTACACATGTTAGAATGAAATTAGTAGCAATGGAAAACAAACATACTTAGAGAGAAATCCAAGATTGATCTCAAACGCAACGAACCCAAACTGAGTGAGGATAAGTGTCCAGAGTGCTTGTACTAGGGCAAAAATAAGGGCACTTGGGGGGGGGGGGAGTGGAGCGCACATGAAAATATTGTAAAATTTCAAATATAGAGGCAAATTGTTAGGAAATTAATTAGGGGGAAACATAGAGTTGAGAGCAGAAAGAGAATTGGAGAAGAGGAGAGAAAAATTCTGAAAATTTGAATTCTTAATTCTTGAACCAATCGGTAGGGGTGGGCATGGATCAAACCAAACTGATTTTTTTACATAACCAAACCGAACTGGATTGAATTGGTTCAGTTCAAAGAACTGAACTTTTTTATTTACTCAAACTGGTTCGATTTAGTTTGGAACCAGTTCGGTTTGGTTTTGACACCGGTTCGGAAAGAACTGATTCTATTTCTGAACTGGTTTCTCAGAACTGAATTTTTGAAATCATGAACCATAAACCATAGAAAATGAAGGTCATGGCGGTTGACTTGAACGGCGAAACCTGTATACATATTGAGCTCCATTCCAGAGTCTTCAATGTCTCCGCTTGGAGCGAGTTCGACTCGGTCGAGTTGGAGAATATGGAGTAGAGACTGGATTTGAACCACACTATTGGAGCTTTCTTCATGGAAATCAAGACATTGCTATTGAGTTGCATCGATGAGTCACCGCCGAGTTTCCGAGTCTACCTACCTTTATGGATTGGGTTTTCGACCTTGTTCTATTGGTCCGTAGTGATAATGAATATTAATGAATTTAATTTTAATGTATTCTCTGTACAAAAAAAATTATATTATTTTAATAATATCAAATAAGTTTTAGATTTTATACTAAATAAAGAATGCTCAGATTTATTACACCCTTTATTTATTAATTGTTAGTTCTTTTAGGATCCGCTAAGTAATGATCCGAACAAAGATTTATTGAAATGGTCGTCCACGAAACAGTAAACAAGGAATGCAGCTTTTACGGGTTCGATTCAGTTCGAACCATTTTATAAATGGTTCTGAATCAGTTCATAACTGATTTAATTTGAAAAATTAAAACCAATTTAGGTTGATGAACTGGTTTGAAAAAACCAGTTTTTTTGGGTTCAATTTGGTGCAGTTCTCAATTTAGTTCATATGTTTTGGATATTTTGCACACCCTTACCAATCGGATACATATATAGAGTTTAAGAGATAAAATCCAATGAGATAAATCCTAATGTGATCCTAATTACTACGCTTACATTCAGAAGATAAACAGAATGTTATCCTAATCCTATTCTTATATTCAAAAATATAATAAGAAGATAACTAAGTGATAATCCTATTTAAAAGATAACTAATAAATGACAGATAATTGGGCTGAAGTCTTAACCGTCACAAAGTCTCTGTAATAATCTGGGGCAGTCTTAATTTTCTTGGGCCTGGTGGATTGTAGTTCCTTAGTATTGGGCTGGCCCGTTGACAGATGATGTGTGCGCAGGTTGCACGCAACACAGAGACTCCATCTTGCCTCCGTGTAGAAGTCCCTCTTCTGGTCCTTATAAATGAAAAAGACAATAGTTTACCATAAAACTTTTTCATGTAACTCACGTAAAATTCTTTTCATTATCATTTTTTTTACCCTCTTTCTCTTTCTCATAATCAATGGCCAACTGTCAATTATGTGAGTTATGTGACTATCACCTAATGTGAGAAAAACATAACTCAATGGTAAAGTACTTATCTTGGGGAAAGATTCCAATTGTTTCTAAAAAACATAGTAAAAAAAGGAGGGAAAAACCACTCCCTTTCAATGCTCAATTCCACTCCCTTTCAGTGCTCAAAATAAATAAGTGTCCAAAAAAACAAAATTACAAACCAATATTTACATCACAAGAAAATAAAAGAAAAACATATCACGCCTACAAACATATCACGCCATGGGTAAAGGAATGCTCACAACCACAATTGGTATCTCTTCGACACTGATGGGCCTTATATTGAGAGAGTTAGTTAGTTAGTTAGGGAAGGGGAGTGTGTGGAGTGAGATATACATGTATTGAGTGGATACTGGGGAATTTGGGGATTCTTAGAGCCAAGGATTGTTGGTTCTAAGGGTGAGCTTGGGAAGGGTCTTTTAGTGTCTGTGTTATGTTTCTATTTTAGTGTCCATTGGTGTTTGTAAGAGGCTCTGCCTTCATTGTTTGACAGCAATAAACTGTAAATTTTGAGTTCCATCAGACACCCATTTTCAGAATGGTTTCCTCAAAGGAGACCCTTTGACCGTAGCTTTCATACTTTGAGAATCTCTGAAACAGACAAAGTGCACTAGAGTTTTCCCATTAGGATAGACTGCAAAAACACTAGTCCCTATTTTCTTATTGCATAAAGAACACATGTTATCACTGGTAATCTTCACAACTGCTTTTCTCTTATCGTAGAGTTCATCTTTCACCTGTGCAAAGCAAATTGAGTCAAGATACATTTTCAGACAAGGTAACAAAACTGAAGCATCTGAATATGCACGAGCATGTGGCTCTCTGTCTCTCACATTGCATTAACTCAGTACGTGAGGAAGAAAGTAATAAGAAGTAATGATAGTGTACAATAATCTATTCAGAAGCAAGAAATGAACAAATTTCCACTATAACCCCAAAGGCCAAACCTTCCAATTCCCCATAACAATATTAAACAAAACCTTGATTTCTGATGTTTGCTTACCTGAAGGTTCTCACTCTGTCTCAAGCTCTTGATCACTGAGCAATTACGAAACATTTCACTAGATTTTCTCAGAAGGGGTCCAAGAAATAGAAGCAAGTTCTGCAGTTAACATTAATTTTTTTACTAAATTGAGGAAACTAAATAACGTCTGACAAAATATAAAAACTTCTAACAGAACAAACTCCAGTAAGAGCAAAAGTTGGACCAATAAAAATAGGTGTTGAATCTAGCTATGGAACAACAACATAAAAATCAGCAGAATGATCAAAATATGGAAAAGCATATGCCCTCAACAAGCCAAATCTACTGTATTTACGCATTAAATCTGGCTTCCATGAAATATTGAGACAATTTCACCCCGTTCTTTTCCTAAAATAAAGAAAGAAAATGGGGCTATTTGAAATTTATCTACTCAGTTATACCTGTAGTTTAGTTTCTTTTGGTAAAAGTTTAAGGGCCTGGGCTCCATTGATTCTATCCCACCTGCGGCTCAACAAATCAAGGACCTCATCAAGCATGATAGAAGTACCTCCTTCCTCAGTAAATTCATCCCCATCAGTATCACTCCTGCCACTGTCAGTGCTACTCAAACTAGATTTTGTGTCCTCTGCAACCTCTATTGAAGCAATTTTCTTTGATCCTCGGCTTCTAGTTTTTAATAATGTTTTTGAACTTACCTTTGAAATGGTTGTAATCTGGGGGGATAATAGATTTTTAATTCTCTTTTCATAGCTCTTGGTTGTCCCCCGTGGATTCAAATAGATTTGCAGAAGCATTAGGTATATGTTGCTGGGAGATTTTACAGAAGGCTTATGCATAGACTCATACACCCGATCACAATAAGACAAAGCCAGTTCTGGAACATGTAGCTACAAATGAAAAGGACATTCATTTATTCCCAAAATTTTTACAGGCAAAACTATGATTTATATAACATAATGTGCATGAAGCAATTAAACTTAGAGGGAGTTAGGGTTATCAGAAAATGACTACACCGTTGTTATGATATTTATTTGATATACCTTATGAACATATAAAGATAATGCTAGTTCATGTTGGTTCATTTTTCCCAACAATATTGCATGCTCTTCATATAAAGCATCTAATGGAAGACGTTTCAGCAGAGCCTCCGGATTGTATCCTGATATACTCTCCAAGGCAGACAATAATTTTTTCCTTTTGGGGGAATAAATTTTTTCATCCCATTTCTGTTGAGAGCTTAAATCAGCATGCCAATCAAGTACTTCGGAAAGATAGATGTGTACCTACATTACAGAACACAACAGCATGTCATACAGATTTTTCTTATATCATTAATCATATATCAATCATGACCATAAAGCAGCTAAAAGAAAAAGTAGAACTGCTTCAGTACTTAGAGCTATTGAATCAGATGTCAGAGGTCCTCACCATTTCATTTTGCAAATTTATAGATATGGCATCCTCATTCATTGCAAGCATCAGCTCCAAGTACGTGGATTGCATGCTTGGAGCATGTTGCTTCAAATATGAGTTTACCATATCTGCTGGAATATTTCCAGACAGAAAGAGCTCAATAGTTTGGCTTGGGCAGCTTTCAAGAACAAGCATTGAGAACTCTAGAACAAGTATGGGGTCTGTTTCACACAGCGGCTGCATCAGAAACCCACCAAATCAGAAAACTTTGTATCAACTAACAATAATCCATGCTTAATGGAAACAAATAACAACTTTAAGGAGGATTTGAAGTCTGGAGAAAATTTTAATCCATGCATAATGGAAAATGAATAAATACTTTTAAGTAATCCCTAAGTGACTACACAAAAAACGTTTTCCAGCACAACTATATATGTCAGGAGGAAAATTACAAAATCAGCCAATAAACTTAAGAAAGTCCTCTAAAATAACTCTTGTCAGTTGTCACCATATCACATCTAAAGAATAAATAATGTTTAATGACAAAGTTCCACCTGATCAATACTAACAAACAAAGCAAAGAAGCAGCCGGGTCCTTTAAGCCACACTAAATACATCAACAATCGCAGTGCACTTAATATATCATCACAAATTATATAATGTCACATATTCAGACACTATTGCTTCCAAAGCACTACGTAAAATCAGTTATTCTATTAAGCAAGCAAATATTTATGTCAAATATTTATCAACCAAATAGAAAATTTACCTTGAGATACTCAATGATGGTCTCAGGTTTGAACCTATGTGTAATCTCTGACTGGCTAGACTTTAACTCTTCCACCAATTTATGAACAACTTCAAGAGCTTCCCGGTGCATTGAGTTGCACTTGTAAAGTTCTACTAAAGCAACATGATAGCTGCCTTCTTGAAGTATCTTTTCACATATTTTTAAATCACAGTAGTTATAACCTCTCAGTAATTCTTCAGCCACTGAAGATTGTCCAGTAAGCAGCAATGCTTGGAGTAGAGCAGTATCCAATATTGAAGCCATCTCCCGAGCTCCTGAACCAATAGGTATACTACCACTCCCCTGACACCAATAATTTATCAAATTATAACTTTCAATAACAACTGTGGTAAATAATTATTAGTACATTGCTTTAGTATTTCAAAAGGGATTAAGGACATTGTTGAAACTATAGAAATTTATTTAGGAAAGGAGACGAGAAATGGAGAAAAACAAGACTCTCAATTATATTCTATAAAATTAATGTGTATAATGATTTGATAAGATGTAATACAAAAGATTAAGTACTAGCCCTTATTTAGGTTAATATTAGACTCTGATCATAAGGGTTCATCTCATAAATATAGCTGTTTTTTATGGCCGGCTCGCTACGCCTGACGCCAACCCTCCTCCTTTAACTATTTGTGTCTCATGTGTAACGTGTGTCAATTAGTTTAATTAATAATAAAAGAGACTTTATGGTAATTGACGTTTCGCATTAATGGTAATTGACGTTTTGACGTTTTGCATTATGGTAACGTTTTGCATTAATGGTAATTGACGTTTTGACGTTTCGCATTAATGGGAAGTTACAGGGAGTTATTTGAAACTCCGTAACTGGTGACATGGTTCAGTTATATAAAGAGAAAAATGGTGAGTCTCTGATGATGATTATCTCTCAGAATTCTCTCCTTCATGGTCTGCCCATAAAAGTTGTATCAGATCCCTGTCATAGACGATACAAGGAAAGCAGAGGGTAAAGACTCTGAGAAACAATTTTCCATCATAAAAGATCTTCCGCAATTATGGACAAAGGTATGTTTGTGTGAAACTCATGAATTCTAAAGATCCTATGTCATGTTCTTGACTGATTACTGTTGAACATGAATCATGAATTACTGATTAAATTGCTTACATGTGGTATCAGGGCATGTGTTTAAGAATTTGTGTTTTTCCATAAATAATTATGAATGAATTTCTGATTCATGAAGAGTTAGGGTTTTGGATAAAGCATCATGAAAAGAGAAACTGATCGATAAAGCATTTTTTGAAATCAATATCAAATGCTTTTTGTTAACCGTGCATCATGAAAAGAATTTGTACTGGCTAAAGAAATATTCAAAGTTGTTGTCGTAGGTCTCCTTGAATGTTCTCGGTTTTCGTGTTTCTTAATGGATGAAAATTTGCATTCGGTTTTAATGCCATTCGATTTTGATTTGAATTGAGTTTGAAAAGCATTTTCAATTGTTTTGAATGGATTATGTTAACCGTGCATAATGGAGAACAAAGGTACTGTGTGAATTTTATTTTTATTTTTTAACGTAAATTTTTCTCGGTTTTCGTGACAAAGCCATTTATTTGTATTGATGGCTTTTCAATGTAAACAATTACGCCATTCAATTTTGGGATGCCATACGTCGGTTTTCCAATTCACTGTTTAGAAACTTATATTGATTTGAATGGCTTTTCGGTAAATGTGCATCACTGTTTCATGAATTTGCTTCTCGGTTTCATAAATTATTGGAGAAACTGATATTGATTTGGTGAAGGTTCCAGTAGCCATTTAATGCCATTTGTTTTTTTTTTTTTCATGCCATTCGATTTAATGGATAAAGCTACTGTATGATTATGTAATATTTACGATTTTAAATTGAATGATTATGTGATGTGGAGAAACTGATATTGATTTGGACTGAAGGTTCCAGTAGCCATTTAATGCCATTTTTTTTTTTTTTTTTCATGCCATTCGATTTAATGGGTAAAGCTACTGTATGATTATGTAATATTTACGATTTTAAATTGAATGATTATGTGATGTGGCTGGATTAAATTGAATGTGAAAATTTAATCCTATTATTGTTTATGAAATTTTTTAGTTTTGGAATTAATTATGATAGATTTGTTAGTCACCAAAGTGGCCAAATCTTGAAGAGTTATTTTAATTCCAAATATTATGAATTTTATTTCAATTACCATGACTGTGATGCTGTGAATAGTATGATAATTATTCATGTTGTGGTATATTGAAGTTCATTATTATAGGACAGTTAGGGATCAACCCAAAGGTTGATTATTTGTTTTATAAAATGAACATGGATGTTGGTATTGTTGGCATATTTCCTCACATTTGGACATCCAAAGATGACAAATATTTATGATAGGGGTATGCATCATTGCCAAATTATGTGAAATTTATATAGCATCATTATAGTTAATGTTGTATGTTAATGGATCCCCAAAGGCGAACATTGATATGCATTGAAGTTAGTATAGTTGAATCTGTGAAGTATGTTAGTATGTGACATGTATGATTCAAAGCATTAATATTTAAATATTATTCCTTGTAGTACCTGTTGCCACACATTCCATGTTCTTAACTGTTGCAGTTTTTAATGGGCTGAACTTCTCTGAATGGAAAGAGCAAATCAATTTTTACCTTGGGGTAATGGATATGGATTTGGCTCTAAGAGAAGAGGAACCTAGTGCTATTACTCCTGAAAGCACTGAGGATGAAAGGAACCATTTTAAGAACCGGGAAAGATCCAACAGATTAAGTTTGATGTACATGAAAATGAGCATAGCAAGCAACATTAAGTCAGCTCTTCCACAAACTGAAAGTGCCATCGAAATGATGAAACTTGTGGAAGAGCGCTCCCAAACCGCTGATAAGTCTCTTGCTGGGACACTTATGAGTACACTGACCACCATGAAGTTTGATGGTTCGCGTACTATGCATGAGCATGTTATTGAAATGACAAGCATTGCGGCAAAATTGAAAGCATTGGGAATGGCTGTGGATGAGAACTTCCTGGTGCAGTTCGTATTGAACTCATTACCGTCTGAGTATGGTCCTTTCCAAATGAACTATAATACCATGAAAGACAAATGGAATGTGCATGAATTGCACAGTATGTTAGTTCAGGAAGAAACCAGAATTAAGAATCAGGGAGCTCATTCTGTCAATTATGTAAAGCATCAAGGAGCTGAAAAGAATAAAGGTAAGAAGCATGAGAAGAAAGGAGGAAGAGGAGGACCCCTTAAAGTGAATGAGGCCTCTTCTTCTAAAATCCACAAGGCCAAATGAAAAGTTTGTCTTTATGGGCAATAGAGTGAAAGTTCCGGTGGAAGCTGTTGGGACTTATCGTTTAATTCTCGACAGTGGATATCATTTGGACTTATGTGAAACTTTGCATGTCCCTAGTATATCTAGGAATTTAGTTTCAATTTCCAAACTTGATGTTGCTGGGTACTCTTTTAAATTTGGTAGTGGTAGTTTCAGTTTGTACAAACACAATCATTTGATTGGTAATGGTACTTTATGTGATGGATTATATAAATTATGTCTTGATAATCTTTATGCTGAAACACTTATGACTCTGCATCATAATGTTGGTACTAAATGTACCTTAATTAACGAATGTTCCGCTTACTTGTGGCACAAACGTTTGGGACATATTTCCAAAGAAAGGATGCAAAGATTGGTGAAGAATGAAATCCTTCCGGATTTAGATTTTACTGATTTGAATGTTTGTGTGGATTGTATTAAAGGAAAACAAACAAAACACACAAAGAAAGGAGCCACAAGAAGCACTCAGCTTCTTGAAATTATACACACTGATGTATGTGGTCCGTTTGATGTTAATGCCTTCAATAAAGAAAAATATTTTATCACTTTCATTGATGATTATTCACGTTATGGTTATGTCTATTTGTTGTATGATAAGTCTCAAGCTGCAAATGCTTTGGAGATTTATATTAATGAAGTTGAAAGGCAATTAGACAGAAAGGTGAAGATTGTCAGGTCTGATAGGGGTGGTGAATATTATGGAAAGTATGATGAAAGTGGACAACATCCGGGTCCATTTGCTAAATTTCTGGAAAAGAGTGGTATTTGTGCTCAATACACAATGCCCGGTACACCGCAACAGAATGGTGTATCAGAAAGGCGTAATAGGACCTTACTGGATATGGTTAGGAGTATGTTAAGTAATTCTTCTTTACCTGTTTCATTGTGGACTTATGCTCTAAAAACTGCCATGTACGTATTGAATAGGGTTCCTAGTAAGTCAGTTCCAAAGACTCCTTTTGAACTTTGGACTGGAAGGAAACCTAGTATAAGACACCTGCATGTTTGGGGTTGTCAGGCAGAGATTAGATACTACAATCCGCAAGAAAAGAAACTGGATGCAAGGACAATCAGTGGTTATTTCATTGGTTATCCAGAAAAATCGAAAGGGTATAGATTTTACTGTCCTTATCATACTACAAGGATTATTGAATCTGGAAATGCAAGGTTCATTGAGAATGGTGAAGTTAGTGGGAGTGAAACACCACGTAAAGTGGATATTCATGAAGTGAGAGTACAAGTTCCATTACCTTGTAGCTCTAGTAAAGTTATTGTTCCTTATGCTATTGAACCAATCAATAATAATGAAGGACAAGTTAATGATCCCACTACTCATGAAGAGATCATTGTTGATGAACCGAATGAACCCATAGTAGAAGAACCACAACAAATAGCATTAAGAAGATCTCAAAGAGAAAGGAGACCTGCTATTTCTAATGATTATGTGGTATATCTACAAGAGTCTGAATTTGACATGGGTATTCAGGATGATCCAGTAACGTTTTCACAAGCCATGAATGGAGAAAATGGTGATAAATGGTTAGATGCTATGAAAGATGAGTTGAAATCTATGGAACAGAATAAGGTCTGGGATCTTGTTGAGTTACCAGAAGGGTGTAAGAGAGTTGGTTGTAAATGGGTCTTTAAGACCAAACGTGACTCTCATGGTAACTTGGAACGTTACAAGGCCAGACTAGTTTCAAAAGGATTCACTCAGAAAGATGGCATTGACTATAAAGAAACTTTTTCACCAGTCTCAAAGAAGGATTCTTTAAGAATTATTATGGCATTGGTGGCTCATTATGATCTAGAGTTACACCAAATGGATGTGAAAAATGCCTTTC